CTCCGCAGCCGAATCTTGGTTGGCGGCGGAGCCATAGACCAGATCCGCCGCTGGGGTCGGGAAGGCTAGTACTTCTAAGTGCTCGTTTTTCCTGGCCCCATGGCCTTTGTGCATCGGACGCGGGGGCGTCTGTTGCACAGACGTAGTTGGAGGCCGTGGAGGAAGGCGCGCCATGTGTTCTGGTGCGCCTTACCTGGGAAGGAGAACGGGGAGGAATTTTCCTCTCCCGAGGAGGTGCTGCCATGGGGCGGCAGGCGCTAGTAGGGCCGCGGATGTGTGCGAAAGCGTTCCCGTAGCCCTGCCAATATGCGACAAAGGTGGAACACCATGGGTTTTTAGTAGGTGCGAGTCCGACATAACCCGTCCTTGCCCCCGCGAGGCGGGTATGCGTAGGCATTTCCCCATGCAAAAAAAAAAAGGGTAATTGAATATGAATAATATTCATTTTAATATCTGACCAGTATGGAACGGGTATTAAGTTATGATTTCAAAGTTTTGTCCACTCGAATATCAAAATATTATTGTCTTTGAGTCCGTCGCTTTATCCTTCAACAGCCCTCGAGTAATATAACGACAACATATTTGTTTGGTTTTCATTTGGATTTGCTTGCGGTGGAATCGCTTTAAAGTTTTCATTTCACTTCCTGCTTCCGTCCCTACATTTATATGATGATGTTCTGAGAAGTTTTGATGTCCTTCCGTGCTACGATGGAGGTACACTCAGTCGATTTAGGTACATTATATTTGGTATATTAAAAAAAGAGTTTTGATGAATCTTTTGGAAGATTATTACGATAAAAAAGCTTGTATAAAGTCCTGGTTGCGCCAGACTATAATTGGGTTTTTTACGTACCTCAAGACAACTACAATTTATAGCTTGACTTGTTTTACGATTATTATAATTAAGACATTAAAAAATTAAATGAAAAATTACTGCATAGTTTGTTAGATTTTAATACAATTTAAGATTTTAATGTTCAAAAAAGATTGAAGCCGATATTGTGTGAAGGAAGTAATACAAAAGAAAAAGATAACGAAACTACAACTTTTAAAAATACGTTGAGTGTGTAAAAAACGCAGTGCGCCTGAAACCCTGGCCGCTAGGGTTTCAGGTGCAAACTGCGTTTTATTATCATGTAAAGTAATATACATAGGACAAACAAATTGATCTATAAGAGCCTGCGTAAAAGAACATGAATATCCTTCAGACCGAATTTCGGTCACAAGTGAGACGGTAAACCGACACGACCGTAGATGGAAAAACTCAATAATTAATTCTTTGTCCCGACCTGGGATTCAAACCTGGGACCTCATGATCAGCACTACTACGACCATTAAACCAATGATATAGTCAAAAGAATATATAGCTGACGTGAAGCAACCGCGTTCCGGCGAGTGTGCAGTCTGTGAACATGTTCAATATCGACCCTGACCCATTACATTAGATTTGAAGAAAAGAACACCGATTCCTACCTAGGATGATTCACGAGGCTATTGAATTTAAAAAAAATATTCTAATTTCAATAGAGGAATATGTATGGGTAATACCACCTGCTTAGGATCCTCTAATTAATAAAATTAAATCCAAACCCAAGCATACCACTGCAAGACTTCAATATTAAGTGTTAACTGTAAGCTCATCCTGCATACGTGGTATTAGAAATTGTTGCATGTAGATTATTAGAAATTGTTTTTTTTTTTACTTATATCAGCCAGTTACTATTCTTTTTCAGTTACTATTTCGCCTTATGGTGGTAATTTATCCGTACACATGTCAAGGTGCACTGACTAAACTAACAAATGGATTGTTTGCTCTGTTCTTTTCTATTATTTTTGCATATGATTTAATGAAGATGTACGAAAATTAAAGTGATTGAAAACTTTAGCTTAAGTAGACACTATTATATAGCTTTATTTGTCTTGATATGAACCAAAAGGTCATATTGATTTTAATTGGTGGTAATTTTAAAAATATCATTACGTTTCATCAATAAATTGTATTATCGTTTCATAAAACAAATTTCAATTAAAAGATTCTAATAGAGTTACCGTCTCAAGTTTTAAGTTGGTTTACTTTTAATCAAGTAACAAAGCTTAAAACTACTGCGGCTAAGTTCAGTGCAGTATAAAGGAGACTAAGAAAAGACTGTTAAACTGATTGTAAAAGAGAGACACTCAAATGATAATTAAAAGTCTTTAAGTGTGAAGTGTGTTTAAGAAAATTACATAGAAATGTCATGACTAAAAGTTTAAAAGTTTTATTAAAGAATAATTATGCAAAAAGGGTTATTATTTCAAGGAATACATGAATAAAATTAACCCCTGGGAATGATGTGATTAACTCCATGCTGGTTCTATTAAGTTCAATAAAAAAATTATAAAATGATTGCAAAGTGATATATGTTTAGAAATACCACTGGGTTTCTTGCTGGTTCTTCCCAGGGTAGAGGTATTTTTCAAACCAGTGAAAAATAAAAAAAATCATTCAATAACCATGATGTAATAATTCTTGTTGAATACAAATCATTCTATTCATAATTTCAATTTTTACTTTTTTAACACGACGTTTCGGGCACTTTCCTGCGCCCATGGTCCCGGAGGGACTGAGGTGTTTGACGTCCCGATGTCATAGTTAACAAAGGCTATCTTCAACTTTTAAATATTAATTTTTCGTCCGATCTACGCAGAACGAGCTTACAGTGTCTTGAAGTCTCGCAGTAGTAGCTTGGGTTTGGATTCCATGCAGATGGTAGCACCCATCCTTCTTCTCTATTGAAATAAGGATGTTTTTTTAATTTCAATAGCCTCGCGAATCATCCTTGGTGGGAATTGGTGTTCTTTTGCGAGGATTTGTGGTCTATCAAATCTGTTATAACGGTTGGGACGATCCTGAACATGTTGACATACTGAAGAATTCCCGGAGCGTCGGTGCTTCACATCAGCGATAGGTATGCTCTTTCACGCGGGGTTTTATAGATATTTTTGTTTGTTCTATGTAGGAGAGACTACATTCACACTCAAACTTGTACACTCCTGCATCTTGTAGAGGAATATTACGCTTGGATGGAAGGAACTGACTAATCTTCTTCGACGGATTGTAGTATGTTCTTACGGAAGCCAGCTTCAAGATGTAGCCAATCTTGTCTGTGACTCTTGTCTGTGTAGTATCGGATTATGTAATTCTTTAATCTCACGACAACGTAGAATTCGACAATTTAATAAATCGAAAATTTATGTAATAAAATACTTTTGTAGAACTACTCTAAACGCCTTATAAAAATAATTTATTTGACACAAAAAGTCAAAATAATTTTACTATTAACTCAGCTCCCTAAAAGTCTAAAGCGACATGGAATATTATTAATCAATAGAAAGATAATTTCCCATGAGAAACCATTAACAGGATCTCAAATAATGACAAGATTGAAACTAATCTTGCTAGCACGGCAAACATATTTAACTATTATTTCGTAGATAAAATTGATACTACATAAAAATTGACACCTATAACAAATATAATTGATATTTTAAACACAATCAAATAATAACTCTATCTTTATGACTCTTACTTCTTCTACAACTTCTATTCCGGAAGTATATAAGATTATAATTGAAAAATACAAACAGTGTCGGTTAAGCGCTAAATACCTTCTAGTTGCGCTAGATGCCTTCAAAATATCTATTCATAAAAAAAAACTGACATAACTGACGTGAAAAATTACAGACCCTTCGCTTTAGTACCTATTTGATCAAAAGTATTTGAAAGAGTCATGTACACAACAATTTAGTAATTACTTGAGAAGTAAAATATATTAATCCTTAGCAATATAGCTTTCGTCGTAATAAATCCATAGATGTGGCTATTTTTAACTTTTTTAGATTTATTTACTGACAAGAGAGAAAAAATATGTGCCATTTTCATGGATACGTAAAAACCTTTTGACTATGTTAACCACAGTGTGCTATTACATAAGCTCTACCATTATGGTATACGCAGTATTGATATGTGAGAGGACTCCTCTCACATATGGTAGTACAGCAGGGTATTTTATTCTATGCTACTAAAAGAATTTACCAAGACTCTAAGCAGCAATAGTTATCCAAGCCGTTGTAATGTCTTTAATCTGTAACGTAGTGATTACTTCAACATCCTTTTAGTCCAAAAATTTGCTTTTAATGATTAGTAAAATCCGACTTTAAAGATCTAAAATAATACGAGTAAGTCGGTGCTAAGACATTGTGCATAGAAGAAATAAACTTTTTTATCAAAAGCTTTTCTCCCTTTGAGAAGACTAAGGAGTATTATGTTCTCAATGTGGTCTAAAAAGTTACATATAAAATTTCATGTAATATATAATTTATTTAAATAAAACTGGTTTTTACGGATTTTATCACGTATATTAACTTATTTGTATTCCCGACGTTTCGAGCACTTTACAGCACCCGTGGTCACGGGGAGACTGAGATGTTTAACCCTTTCCCTCCTTACGGTACTTAGAAGTACCTCCACATGTTTCGTCTAATAACTTAAGTACGAAATCACTTTACGCTAACTACAACTGACGATCCTTTAGAGTACCGTTTCCGTAAGCCAATCACAGCGCGTTATTTGAATTACCGCGTGACGTTTCCGAAAAATTTTAACAGCGAGTTACAACCGGTCGGACATTTTATCACTCTCCTGTGCGGTGTAATTGAAAAAGTTTTATAAATAGAATATCATAGGTAAGTGCTATTTTTTTTACTAATTACGTTGTTTATATCACGGACTACATTTGTAAAAGCTGTTATAACTTATTATCACTTTATTTTATATGAATATTTGATAAAAACTGATGTGGACTTAAAAGTACCGTCAGGCGATTTTAGTCTAAAAATTATAAGCTTTTATTATAATACACATACTCGATCAAGTGGGTATTTTGCTTTATCATAAATAAATGTTTTTTTTTTATTTTATAATTGTTCTGAGCTATTTTTTTATTGTTTTAGCCATTGAGATGGATATTTCAAAAAATACTGCTCTAATTGAAGCCCTGTTATTAGAAGAGATTCCGGACTGTGACGAAGAGTCTGAAGCAGGTGTGTCCGATGATGAAGTGGAAAATTTTCAACAACCTTCACCAAGAGGCTTCGATGAGGTTTTTGGAAAGGCTCTAGAAAATATTTTAGCAGAAGATCCGCCATCGTCGCCTTCAAAAGAAGATGAATTTGAGTGCCCTATAAATCAAGTACCAACATCTCCAATACCTGGATCTAGTGTTCAGATTGATCTACCGTCTGCAAATACGTCTTCACACAAAAGTAATCTGCGATTACCCGAACCAAACCGTAAGTGGAAAAAGAGGGACCTACAATTTTACAGGAATACGTTCTAGATACTGGAGTAGTAGAAGACTGTTTTGCTCACTGTAGCACCCCAACTGATATATTTTTAGTATTAATTGGAGATATTGTTGATAATATTGTGTACCAAAGTAACCTTTATGCTACTCAGAGAGGCAAACTATTGAACCTAAAAAAGGAGGAACTTCTAACTAATAGGTATGAATTTTTTTATGGGTTACAATACTCGTCCGGCGTGGAGAGACCATTACTCTTCGGCACCTGATCTCAACAATGCACTTATTTGCAAAACAATGCCAAGAGACAGATTTGCTATTATTTTATCTCATCTGCATTGCAATGATAACTCACAAATGCCTAAAGATTGCAAAGATAAATTACATAAAATTAGACCGATGATTGATGCACTCAATAAAAAATTTCAAGAGGTTTATCATGGTACTCGCGAACTGAGTGTAGATGAATCTATGATCAAATTTAAAGGTAGGTCTGTCTTGAAACAATATCTACCTACGAAGCCCATTGGTAACGCCAGTTAACAATCTACTTTATCAACATTACATTACTCATCGCATTGAGTTCGTCCTAAGTTTCTACTACTTTATCAACATGACTAGTGCATATTTTTGTTTCCTTCCTTCCTTCCCTTTCCTACCGCACGCGCTGCCGCCGAGGTGAAGGAAAGGATCTCGGCGCGCGTCATTATACTAAGTGACATTACGCCATCCGCAACGCACGGCCAGCCGTTGCGTCTTATATATATTAACCGCAAACCGCGCAGGACGAACATTAAGTTCTCCTGTTTATCTTTAATACTCACCGCATCAGACATTGTGTCTTTGTAACTCATAAAAGTGTGAGACGCCCCCGTAAGGGCAAAGGTCGAGAGTGTGGGACTTCACGAAACTGTTCCGAGAGAGCGTGTGCGCCGAACCACGTGGCGAGCTCGCTGTATAGCAGACACTCCAGGAGGAAGGCGAGGCAGCCCTCATCAGGTCAGTGCGTGCTATCCCACCTATTTATTTTCCCCCTTTGCCGTATGCACCAAAATTACAGTCCACTAAATCTTTATCGAAGATACCTTAAGTTACTGGCGTCTCCATTTTAATGGTCCTTCGAGCCGGATTGACCTTGACTTTCCGCCCTTATTAGATCGTTATCGTAATAAGCGTTTATATAATTAATTATTTATATTTCAATCCGACTTCCGACTGACCCCGCCCTTATTAGAACACTAAGATAGGTCCTAATAGGTGACATCCATAGTAATTTTAAAACTATATTCATAGAATGAATAAGCATATAATTATCTATATAAATTATTTTGTTGTATGTTCACATCACGTCATCAACTTTTAACTGCATCTATAGACTATACAGTTAAATTACATTTATTATTTGCATATATATTTAAGCATTATATTCGTTATAAATAACTTCATAATTATTATAAAAGTTAACAATTAAAGTTCATCGTTAACAAAACTAATATTTAATAATTCAACCGCGTAGCGAGGTCGCTTACAGACTACCCGCTTATAATTATATTTTTGCCGTATAACTTTAGCCGTAATGCCGCCTAAAAAACAAATAGCATCGAATAATAGCGATTCCTCGGATAATGAGGGCACACCTGATGCTGAGTTGGTTTTATTGTTAGCTAAACGAGATGCTTTATTTGAAATAGTGCAAAAAATATATGATATGTCCTCGGACATCCACACGAACACTTCCACGATGGAGCGTTTTCTTGATGGAAGTTCTAACATTAATGCTTTACATATTGAGTTTAAACAGGTCTTAGATAATTATAATTCACATTTATTAAAAATAAACCCTATTGCTAAACCTGATTATAACAGCCTCATTGCGTTTGAGTCTCTTTGCGGTAGAATAAATAGGCTTTATTTACAATATTCGCAATCTAATTGACAAAGTACTAGTACACCATCTAAAGCCAGATTCACACTTCCGCCTATCGAACTTATGCCATTTTCGGGTGACATTCGCTCATGGCCTTTATTTTATGCTAGCTTTAAATCAACCGTCCATGACAACCCATCGCTCACCGACGCTGAAAAGTTATACTATTTGCTAGGTAAACTAACGGGCAAAGCCCTATCCGTATGCTCAGGTATGACTCCTTGCGCTGAAAATTATAAGATTTTATTGCAAGCACTCGTTGACAAATACGAAGACCGGCGTATGCTAGCATCTACATATATTAATCAGATGTTCGAATTTAAGCCATTGCAATCGGCCACCGCAAATAATTTTGATTTATTTACTGATAACTTTATAAGTGCAGTGCGCGCTTTACAAAACTTAAAGTTAGATAATCTCGCGGACTTAATTGTTCTTCATATCGGGCTTAAGAAGCTGGACCCGGATACCATTCGCTCCTTCGAATACAGTCATAACTCGATAGTACCTACCTTTGATGATTTAGTAAATTTTATTAAGACCCGCTCCAAAGTTTTGCAGCGCACCGATTCTAGTATAAATTCTAATAGCGCGCCAAACAATCGACGAGGTAACGATAATAATCGTCGCTGTAATAATACTTCATCGCCGAAGTATCAGGCGTACGTAAGCACGACGACTAGTTGCTCAAAGTGTCTGTGCGATAATATTGTGCATCAACACCTATTTAAGTGTGCAGACTTTAATAAAATGACGCCGCAGGAACGATTTAAATGCGTAAAGAGTAACAATGCATGTGTGAATTGTCTCAGTTTAAGTCATCGAGCGTCTAGTTGCTCTTCAAATTATAGTTGTCGAGTTTGTAAATTTAAACATCACACATTGTTGCACTTCCACCGCAGAAGCGATACCGATAATGCTTCCCCTGCGCTGGCGCATTCTCCACCGCCTCAGCCAGTTACACTGAAGTCTACAGCCCCCGCGCCCGCACACTCGCCACCCCTCACCGCAGGTGCGCGTTCAGACGTCGCGCTGTGTACTTCGTTCAAGAATGTTTCTCAACGTTCACCGCCTCCCGCGCGCGTAAGTCGTTCGCAGAGAACTGTTTTACTATCAACCGCTCAAGTCTTTGCATACGATGCTAAGGGAGAGAAACAAATTATTCGTATATTATTAGACTCCGCGGCTCAAAGCCATTTTATTACTAAAGAGTGCTGTCATCGTTTAGGCGTTCAACAACACGATACCGAATGTACTGTAGTAAAGGGATTCGGTGGAGTTGAAAAAATTGTAAAATCGAAATCGATTGATATTAAAATTTTCTCACGATTCGACTCGAATATTAACTTCAATATTTCAACGCTAGTTGTTGATCAAATCACCGACCTTTTGCCCACCGCTGTGGTAGACACATCTGTCTTATCACACTTCCATGGCATAAGACTCGCTGATGAATGTTATAGCATGCCTAATAAAATTGATGTGTTGATAGGCGCATCCCTTTTCCCGCACTTACTGTGTCCAGACGTAATTTATTCGTCTAACGACTTGTCCGGGCCCTCAGCTTTGAATACGGTATTTGGTTACGTTATTATGGGCTCAGTGCCGACACTTCAGGTAAATCATTCTTTAACGTGCTGCTCAGTTCTAGAGTCTCCTACCGTTGACAAATTAGTGCAACGATTTTGGGAGCTTGAACAGCCACCCTCCGCACCGCCCATTCAGTGTCCTTCAGACATTGAATGTGAAGAGTTTTATAAATCTTCGACATCCCGCGATTCTTTTACTGGTAGATATATTGTCGCCCTGCCATTTAAAGATGACGTTTACTCTCTCGGAGATTCTTATGAAACCTCTCGACGACGATTCATGTGCTTGGAGAGGAAACTTCAAGCCTCGCCTACATTAAGGTTAGCATATGATGACGTCATAAAGGAATACTTAGCTAATAATTATATATCCCCCGCACCGCCGTATGACTCTCATGAACCCGCTCCAATATATGTCATACCGCATCATGGAGTCTTACGCGAAGATAAGAAGTCAACGCGTCTGCGCATCGTCCTGGATGCTAGCAGTAAGACTAGCACTGGGCGATCATTAAATGATATTCTGCATTCAGGACCAAATTTGCAAGGCGACTTGTTCAATGTAATTTTAACTTTCCGCTTACATCCAATCGCTATGACAGCCGACTGTCGCCAACAATTTCTGCAAATAGTTGTTCGCGATTCTGATCGTCGTTACCAATGCTTCCTATACCGCTTCCGTCCACAAGACCCACTTGTGTTGTACCACTTCAATCGCGTGTGCTTCGGTTTAACTTCGAGTCCATACCATGCATTGCGCACGGTAAGACAGCTCATTGATGACGACGGCGCAAAGTATCCACTTGCAAGTCGTATCGCATCTACTTCGCTATATATGGACGACATCGCGTTCTCTATGCCCAGTGAATCCGAGGCCAGTGAGACCTCTCGGCTGCTGATAAACTTATTCAAGGGTGCCCAATGGGACCTGATAAAATGGCATAGCAACCGTCGATCTGTTTTAGATGACCTCCCTACTTCCCATAAAATTACAGGAGAAGTAGAGTTCGATAAATCAATGCCACATAAAATACTAGGCTTGCATTGGTCTACCGATAGTGACACCTTTTATTTTAAGATATCTGTTCCCGCTGATGTGACGTGCACTAAGCGCGCCATCTTATCTACTGTCGCCCGCCTGTGGGACATAATGGGTTTCGTTGCTCCCACAGTGGCGTACGCTAAATTGTTAATAAAGCAGCTTTGGCAACTTAATTTAGATTGGGACGACATACCACCACCGCCAATTATTAAGATGTGGAGGCAATTCTGTGCTGAATTACCAGCTCTTAATGATTTACGTATCCCGCGACATGTTGGTGTATCCAAAAACTGTACTGCGTCACTCCTGGGGTTTTCCGACGCCAGCGAGCACGCATACGGTGCCGTAGTTTACATACATGTAAAGAGCGTCAATGGTAACACCGTCCAGTTGATTTGTGCGAAGACTAAAGTCGCACCGACAAAACCACTATCTATTGCACGCCTTGAGCTTTGTGGAGCGGTTTTACTCTCAAAATTGCTTCGCAGAGTACTCGACAATTATTCTCTTGACCTTGCAATATCAGTCTATGCCTTTGTAGATTCAAAAGTAGCTCTGTACTGGATAAAGAGTTCGCCATACAAGTGGCAGACCTTTGTTGCAAACCGCGTTGTTCAGATTACCGACAATATTCGCGCTGATAACTTTTATCATGTCGCAGGTACTGAGAATCCCGCTGACATACTTTCACGTGGCGTTACGCCAAATAAATTAGTTTCAAACCCCCTGTGGCTCTATGGGCCTCAGTGGACTTCGTTAGATCCATCTCAATGGCCTCTTCTTACTTTAGACAATGAGGTTATTGCAGACATACCTGAGAAGAAGATTTTGTCACACACTGTGTGCACATCCGTCTGTAATTCTGCGATTTATGAGCTCGCACTCCGCATCTCTTCTTGGAGTAAACTTCTACGTATAATTGCGTACGTGTGTAAGTTTGCTAAATTATTGCCCCGCCGCAGCACTACTGTAGTGACTGCTGATGATCTCAGTTTCTCTGAGGTTATAATGCTCCGCGCCCTGCAAAAACAGCATTTTGCAGTGGAATATTTAAATATTGAAGGTAACAAACCTTGCTCGCCCGCTTTCAATCGTTTAAGGCCTTTTATTGAGAATGGTTTAATCCGCATTGGTGGTCGTCTTTCGAACTCCGCATTAGATTACACGCAAAAACATCCAATTATACTCCCGCGCAGTGATCATGTAGTGAACATGATCATTGACTATTATCATATTAAAAATTTACACGCTGGGCCTGAATTGTTATTGTCATTACTCCGTCAAAAATTTTGGATACTCTCCGCACGCCGCACTGTGAGAAGCAGAGTCCACAAGTGTAATATATGTTTCCGGCTTAGACCCCGTCCAACTTACCCTTTGATGGCTGATCTTCCCCATAGTCGTGTAAGACAAGCTATTAAGGCATTTACACACACGGGCTGCGATTATGCCGGTCCTATCGCATACACTCCTGTACGTCGTCGTGGTGTACGCAGCGAGAAGGCGTACTTATGTGTTTTCACATGCCTCACGACTCGAGCTGTGCATATAGAAATCGCTACAGATCTTAGTAGTTCTAGTTTCCTCGCTGCGCTTAAACGTTTCCTCTCTAGACGAGGGCCGATTCAGTTTTTATATTCGGATAATGGAACGAATTTTAAAGGTGCCGCTTCGTACCTTCGCGATCTCTATAAATTTCTAAACGTTGAATACCGCCCAAAGCTTGAGCAAGAGTGTGCTGAGAATCGTATAACATGGAAGTTCATCTGTCCCAACTCTCCTCATTTTGGAGGCGCCTGGGAGAGTATGGTCAAAGTCGTAAAAACGCATCTGTTCCGAGTTATCGGACATCAGTTACTTTCATACGAAGAGCTTAATACTGTTCTTGCGCAAATTGAGTGCTTGCTAAACTCGCGGCCCTTGACAGTATTAAGTTCTGATCCCGCAGAGCCTTCAGCTCTTACTCCGAGTCATTTTTTAAATACCGCACCTTTATTGTCATTACCCGCACCCGAAGTCAAATCTGACTCTACCAGTCTGTTACACAGGCATTCTTTACTGGATAAATTAGTTCAGTCGTTTTGGGATCGGTGGAGGACGGAATACCTTCACGGATTACAAGTTCGTCAGAAGTGGAACACCCCGTCTACGGCTATCGTACCAGGCATGGTTGTAATTGTGATAAATGATAATGAACCGCCCCTTGCTTGGCCATTAGCGATTGTCGAGTCTGTTCATCCTTCGAAGGATGGCGTAGTTCGAGTAGTGACCGTGAGAACTACTAAGGGAACATATCTCCGTCCTGTTGCTCGTATCTGCCCTCTCCCAAGACAATAAATCACGATTATTTGATATAGGAATTAAGTTTATATTTATATATTAAAAAGTATTAAACCGCAATATTATATTTATGTATACATTTTCTCGCTTACCAAGTAGGGTTAGTAGATGACACACGCGCATTGAGCGCATCCTCTCACTTTATATACCGCTTATTTATTTGTTTTCCTTTTCTTTTTATATTACGGTTGTCTTTTAAAGGTGACCCTTTAAGGGCGGGAGGAAATGGTAACGCCAGTTAACAATCTACTTTATCAACATTACATTACTCATCGCATTGAGTTCGTCCTAAGTTTCTACTACTTTATCAACATGACTAGTGCATATTTTTGTTTCCTTCCTTCCTTCCCTTTCCTACCGCACGCGCTGCCGCCGAGGTGAAGGAAAGGATCTCGGCGCGCGTCATTATACTAAGTGACATTACGCCATCCGCAACGCACGGCCAGCCGTTGCGTCTTATATATATTAACCGCAAACCGCGCAGGACGAACATTAAGTTCTCCTGTTTATCTTTAATACTCACCGCATCAGACATTGTGTCTTTGTAACTCATAAAAGTGTGAGACGCCCCCGTAAGAGCAAAGGTCGAGAGTGTGGGACTTCACGAAACTGTTCCGAGAGAGCGTGTGCGCCGAACCACGTGGCGAGCTCGCTGTATAGCAGACACTCCAGGAGGAAGGCGAGGCAGCCCTCATCAGGTCAGTGCGTGCTATCCCACCTATTTATTTTCCCTTTGCCGTATGCACCAAAATTACAGTCCACTAAATCTTTATCGAAGATACCTTAAGTTACTGGCGTCTCCACCCATAAAAAGGGGATATAAGTTGTGGTGTCTTGCTAACCAGAGAGGCTATATAAAGAAGTTTCAAATTTACCAAGGAAAAGACGAAGAACTGAACTCAAAATTTACCGGCTATGGCTTAGGAGAAAAAGTTGTTTTGGAGTTGACGGAACAAGATTGGGGTACAGGAAAGATAGTTTACTTTGATAATTTTTTCTCGTCTGTTGCTTTGCTTCAGAAACTGAAAACTGAAAACACCTACGCATGTGGAACTATCCGAAGTAATAGAAAAGGACTGCCCGGAAATATGCTCGCTGATTCTCAAATGAAAAGGGGCGACAGTGATCATCGATTTTCAAATTTAGACATTGGATGTTGGAAATGGAAGGATAACAAAGTGGTTCATTTAGTATCTAATTTTCATGGGAATGAAACGGCTACTGTGTCACGTAAAGAAAAAAATGGGTCCAAGTCTACCATTACATACCCTGTAGCTGTCAAAGGTTACAATAGCTATATGGGCGGCGTAGATACAGCTGATCGTTTGAGAACCCTTTACTGTATAGATCGCAAATCTCCGAAATGGTGGCACAGGTTGTTTTGGGGTCTTCTGGACATCGCATTTGTCAATTCATATGACATTCAAGGACTTATAATGGAACAGACTACCGTAAAAGATTTTCGACGCTCTGTTACTCAAGGCTTGATGACAATGAAAGATGTTAGTCAGAAAAGAAAGACTTCTACAACTAATACTTCGGAAGGTGGCCCTTCCAAAAGACGCAAATCTGACTACTCCACTATAAAAGACGTTCGCTTGGGTAATAGAGGCATCCATTGGCCTTCGTTTGTAGAAAATAGGGGAAGGTGTGAGGTTTGTAGTATGAAAAAGATTCAGTCAAAACCTCATAGTAAATGTTCCCATTGCAACGTGTTTTTGTGTGTAAATGAAAAGAAAAATTGTTTTGCTGAATACCACGAGGTTAATTTGTAATTAAAAACCTATCTTTTTAATTATTACTAAGAAAATATTGAGTCTCATTATTTTTGTAGTTTCTGTCAAAGTTCCAAACATTGTAATGACACAAAGTTCCTGACGGTACTTTTAAGTCTAGGTCTTAGAAATAGTACTTCTAGGTACAATAAAAATCTGAAAATAATCTGAGCGTTTCCTTTTACCTACCTTATTATGATAATGAAGTTAAAAAGCGGAAATTCGTTAAAAATCACTACCCCGTGTGGAAAGGGTTAACGTCCAAATGTCATAGTTAACCGCGGTTACCACAGATTAAAATAATTAATTTTTGTTCCGATCTACACAGTATGAACTTATACGGAGTCTTGCAGTTGTATGCTTGGCTTGGGATTTAATTTTATTTATTATAGGATTCCAAGCAAATTTTTTTTTATAGGAAAAGGGTGACAAGCGAGCACACAGTCCACCTGATGGTAAGTGGTTGCTGTGGCCCATAGACATCTACATCCATCCTCGTTTGCGAATTAAAATGAAGATGCGTTGTCAGCCTTCAGGACTAAGATGGAATGCCGCCTGGGTAGGATTTGATAAGGTAACGTTATTTATTTTTAGAGTAATTGAAGATTATTTGGTTTATCAATTTTACTCAAAAACAAATCTCAAAAAAAGTTTTTTGGATAAAATTTAGCCTAGATCTTTTTTTTCTTGAATGGGGTGGCAAACGAGCACATAGTCCACCTGATGGTAAGTGAATACTGTGGTCCATAGGCTGCTTAATTTATTCTTAACCGAGAATCAAAATGCAAATGCGTTGTCACCCCTGAGGACTTAGGTGGAATGCCTCGTTTCCAGTAAAAAAAAGGTCTCCGGTTCTCTACACTCACCATACGAAACACAGCAGCATTAAGCTACTATTTCACGCTGGTATTATGTGAGAGCGTGGTCCTTCCCCGGTCGAGCCGACCCATTCGTAATACAACTATACAATTAATCTATCTGCAGCATGGCTCTACCACGTTAAAAATTGGTAGCACCCAGCCATCTTCTCTATTAAAATAAGAATGTTATTTGATTTCAATAACTTCGCGAATCATCCTTGGAGGGAATCGATGTTCTTTAGCGAGGATTTGTGGTCTATCAAATCTGATGTAGTGACGGGGGCGATCCTGTACATGTTCACAGACTGCAGACTTCCCGTACTGTCGATTCTTCACATCAGCTATGTGCTCTTTAACGCGGGTTTTAATTCATCTTTTAGTTTGTCCTATGTAGGGGAGACCACGTTCACAATCAAGCTTGTACACTCCTGCATCTTGCAGAGGGACATTACAAAAAATTCCGTAAAAACTAGTATTATTTGAATGTGTAGTGTTCGCGTAAATTTAAGAAATCATTATAATATTATTTATTATTTTTTACTTATTTCGGCACCTTTGGAGGTATAATTTTTTTCACCAAATTTATATAGCTTCACTCCTAAAGTAGTAGATATTAAATCCTACCTGGTACCCGAAGCTTTGCTGACGCAGAAGAAATAATTGTGGAAATATCGTTTTAAATTCGGAAGGGTTATATTGTTTTATTAGGAACGCTAATACAATCATGGAAATGAAATGATCTTTAAAACTTTGGAATAAATTGTCGGTAGGTACGATACGCGTGCCACCTACTGTAAGTTAATTGTACTATGCCTGTAACCATTGCGCAAGTGCAAGCAATAAGTTCACAATGTTTTATCGCAATCTCATGAACGGTCTGGCAGCGCATAAAATACGAACAAACAAACATTAATTTTTATATATTAGCTACTAAATATACTACGGCTGTATTTAATATGCTACTTTAGGTATATATTTAATTCTATAGTATTTATTGAAAAAGAATTGTCGAAATCGTTTTACAATTCGCAAAGATATCGCGTTATATAGATACATAAAAAGTGTAATTGAGAATCCGTTCTATTTTAAAGTCTGCTAATAGAAGTACGCTTATCAGTAAATTTGAACATCCTGATAATAATGTTTTACAATTTGTTATAGCTACTTGTGTGTAAGCGGCTGTATCGCTCGCGCGGAAAAAGCTGGAGAGGCTCGCGAGAGTGTGCAGACCTTGCTCACCGTGTGCGCAGACCTGTGCCATCCCTGTGAAGCTGACGTGGTGAGATATATATTTTAGATAATAGACATTAAGAAGTCCCACGGTTAATACAGTATTTAAACAGAACCCAACTGCGTAAAAAGTTTACCGAAAAGATATTTTTTTTATACTTGACGTTACTTCCTCAACTAAGGCTTATATAACAACACCCAATATGTTAATATATCGATCAAGCCGTTAAGGTTACCGAGTGTGCCAAAGAAGTGGACATCCACGACATACATTCATTATTCGGTTAAAAAGTGGGTGCTTTTCTAATTTTTTTTATAAAATTGGGTGACAAACGAGCACATTATTATTATTATTTTTGGGGTATCTGTATAGTTTTCTCATCTGGTTGGTTTCTATAAATATATAATTATAAATTAAAATGAAAAGATAAATATACATAAATATCAATAAAATAAAATAAATACAAAAAATACACAAATAAATAAAGATCCAACCAGATGGAAGCCCTCGGCAGGGGAGACCAAACGGCCGAGGGTTAGGAGGAAAGGGAAAGAAACCGACGGACGATGCGGGCGGTATCGAGGACCACTGCCTTCTGCATTTGAGCCCGGAGCGGTCCGTCACGGAGTCCCAGTCGCCTCAGATGACCCGAGAGGCTGACTGGGATTAGCCCGTTTGCAGAGACGACTACAGGAATAATTTCGGTCGGCAGACCACCCCACATGTCGGTCACCTCGTGAGCCAGGTCCAGATATTTTGTTTGCTTATCTGTTTCGGCTTTCACGAGGTTCTCGTCATACGGAATGGTAATGTCGACCAAAAATATCCTTGACTGCGCCCGGTCCATCAGCACAATATCAGGCTTATTTGCAAGAATAGTCCTGTCTGTGATGATGGCCCGGTCCCAGTAGAGCCTGGCGCGGTCATTTTCGAGCACGGCTTCCGGCAAGTACTTGTAATACGGCAATTTCCGGTCCACGAGACCGTATTTCAGAGCGAGCGCCTGGTGAAGAATTCTGGCTACTAGGTTGTGCCTGTGCAAGTACTCAGAGTTAGAAAGCGCCGAACAACCGGAGATGACGTGTCTAAGTGACTCCCCGGGATGGCGACAAGCTCGACAGACGTCGACGGTGCCATCCTTTAGGATGTATCTCCGATAGTTGTTGGTCTTAATAACCTGATCGTGTATTGCACAGACAAAACCCTCGGTTTCCCCCGAAGAGGTCACCGAAACGTAGCCAGTTGAGGGAGGCGACTGTATCTACGAAGGGCTCATGTAGAACCCTGTAGTACCTCCCGTGGAGCTCCTTCTCCTTCCATACGGTCTCCCGGTCGGAAATGCTAAGCACTGCTGGGTCCTGCCATTGCTCGTTGGCCAAGGATAGAGGGGTAAGCCCTTTATCACTAGAAATGACGTCATTATAGAATGGATCATCCGATCTCGCCAGGAAGTAATGACGGAGGCTGCACACTTCACGATTATGCATAGTGAGCGCGCTTAGAAAGCCACGCCCACCATGCTTTCGCGGCAAGTACAGCCTCATTACCGATGATCTCGGATGATGCATCCTATGGGACGTCATGGTAGTGCGGACTTTTCTATCCAGGGCGTTAAGTTCAGTCTGAGTCCACCTGAGTATGCCAAAGGTATACATAAGGACAGGCATGACCCAACCGTTATATGCGTGTGTCTTATTCACACCGGACAAAAGGCTATTAAGCACTTTGGTCAAGCGTGCATAAAACACGTCGCAAACTGACTGTTTCACACCAGCCTCATCGATACCGATGTTCTGTGACATACCCAGGTATCGGTATGTTTCAGCCTCGGAAAGGGTCCTTAGTTGACGGGCATAGATAAATCTATGCCCTCAGAGTTAGCAACCCTTCCCCTCTCAACATGGAGGACCGCACACTTATCCGTCCCCAGCTCCATTCCAATGGAACTGCTAAACTCACAAGTGATTTTTAGCAATTCCACAAGATGGGAGCGACTGGAGGCGAATAACTTAAGGTCATCCATATAGAAAAGGTGGGTCACTTTTGTCCCTCCTTTCCGTAGCTGAAATCCTCTCCCGGATTCCTCCAGTAAGGTACTGAGAGGGTTCAGGGAGAGGCAGAACCAGATTGGACTCAGACAATCGCCCTGGAAGATACCCCTTCTTATCCTTATGTGGTTCTCCGCAGCCATCATCCGCTCACCCAGATGACAAAGGATCGTACTCCACTGCCCCATACACTGCTCGAGGAAGTCTCTCACTGTACATTCTATCTTGTACAGCTCGAGGACTCTCTTTAGCCATGTATGGGGCACCGAGTCGAATGCCTTTCTGTAGTCTATCCAGGCGGCGGAGAAGTTCCGACGGTTGCGTTTCACCACTTTGCCAATGACCGCGTCAATGAGGAGTGGTTCCTTAGTTCCACGACCACCGCCCCGACATCCATTTTGAGCGCGTGACATCACCTGATTTAGCTCCAGGTGACGAGTGATTCTCGCGCTCAAAATGGATGTCAGTGTCTTATATATGGTGGGTAGACACGTAATGGGGCGGTATTTGCTCGAGTCTGTGGTAACCTGGTCTTTAGGAACCAAATGAGTGATCCCAGTAGTGAAGAGGCTTGGGAGCGACTTCTGGTTGAGAGCCTCTTGAAACTGACGGGCGAGCACAGCGTGACACACCATGAACTCCTTCAGCCAGTAGTGATGCAGTCCGTCGAGTCCCGGACTTTTCCAGTTCGGGGCTCTACGGACCGCCTCAGCTACGTCATCCGGCGTTATGATGACGGGGTCCATGGGCGTAATACTCGCACACTGACTCGCCACAACTTCCGTCCAAGGGCCCTCGCTGTGGTTTACGGGCTCTGACCACAGGCCATGCCAAAATGCGACAGTGTTAGCCTGATTCGGTCCTGGGCCCGCTCCACATACCTCTGGTCGCTCCAATGATTTGTAGAGCCTCTTCTGATCACTCTGGAAGAGATGATTCTGGTTGAACCGCCTTGACCTCTCGGTAAATCGGCGAATCCGCTTCCCCCAAGCGGCAATCTTTTGCTTCAGGTCGTCTATGCGCTCCGTTAATTTCTGCGTGATATCCGGCTGGGACAAACTGATATTTGTCCCAGCAAACGCCATTCTAACGGTGCGCACAACCCTCGGTCTATTATTACCCGACCTGAAGCTTATCAGTCTGCCGATAAGGGCCCTTGCCTTTGCGATACGGTCCTCAATTCTTTTTCTCCAGGCTGGGATGGCGCTACTTTGTTTAGTAGCGCGTCCAGCCATGGGAAGTTTGGCGCCAATAATACGGCAAGCTGCCACTGCGGCGCCAAAAAGAACTGAGTCCGTCTCGCAAAGGTCCCGGCTGGCTTCCAAATAGGTTACCAGCATTGGGTTAAGAGCCCTCACGACAGCCCGATTTCGCTTGCTTAGGGGTATGCGGGGGAATTCGCGGTCGATTTTCGAGAGGCATGCTGCGCGTTTCTAAAATCGCCTCTTCCAATATACTCCTCATTTGCTCTAGTTCGTGGGAGACCATTTCATCATCGTCTGAATCACCCACAACTGGAAGATCCATGGCGGCTTCTACGCGTGGCAGCTGGTCTGTCGCCTGAGGAGCCTCATCCCCAGCCGTAGCCAATTCATTCGATGAGGGAATGGCCTCACGTCGTAGTCGTTCGAGCTCGGCATCATCGAATATTTTCGAGCGCATGATGTACCGAACTCGGTCTGGTTCTGTTCAGGTTTTGTTCCGTGACGGGAATAGACGGCTCCAGCTCAGCAAAAAAGCAATGCATCCGAGCCCGATACGCTATCTCCGCAGTTTCTTCCCCTTTCGCCCTATAGTACGCCCGCATTGCGTTTGCGTTCATATCCCTTGTCCAACGCATGCGGCGCACTCCACCAGCGGCGGATGCCGCTTGCCGAGTCCGAGAGGACCCTGCCGACATCAAGCCGTCTGGTGGGGATGATGGATGCGGGGGGCTGTTAGGTGATCTTGCAGCTCCTCGCGCTCGGCTGGCGGCCCGCATGCTGCCGCGTCCAGCGCCAGCTCCAGACGCGCCCCGGCGACCCCCAGGCAGCGGCCCTATACGTTTTCCAATCTTATCCATCATCCATTTTTGGGCACCAATTAGCGGGAGACGCCCAGGCCCGGCACCGTTTTATTGTGTTATATATTATTATTATTATTATTATTATTATTCACACAGTCCACCTGATGGTAAGTGGATGCTGTGACCAATAGATATCCACATTTTTCCTCAATTAAGAAACAAAATGCAAATTCGTATTACCCTTGAGGACCAAGATGTAATGCCTCGTTTCCAGTAAGTAAAAAGGGTCTCTTGATCTCTATACACTCACCATACGAAACACAGCAGCATTACGTTGCTATTTTACGCTGGTATGCTGTGAGAGCATGGTCCTGACCCGGTCGAGCCGATCCATGCTACAACTATAATATAGCTGCAAATATAATTACTTTATCACATAAATTTTCATATCAGAAAATAACAGATTTGTCGTGGTTTACTGATATCCCATAACCTTAACCTTATAGGTAGTTGTTACGCTTATAGCCTACTAAAACAGTACGTTTTCCATTACCTGAATTTTATTTATTTTTTTGCTAATGTAGAAAAAATGGAAGAGGAAAGCGTGTGACCAAAGCAAGAAGTGAGTGGTAGAATTGTCGTGGGCCGTTCCTAGGCGGTTTATCGATCAAATCGGCGATATATTGAAAATTGAGCAATATTTGAGTAACCATAATGGATAAACATGTATGCACAGACATATTGATGTGAAAGATTATGTCAAATGGATGCCTGTAGCCATTGCCAATGAGGGCATCCACGACTTCTGCCACCAGGGCGGTGCAACTTAAAAATGAGGTGTAGTATTAGACAAATTTCATAGCGGGGATGTTAATTTGTTCGAGAAATATAAAGATTAATGTTTCTTTCTGTACTCTTAGCTATATTTTGTAAGGTACGTGAGGGTTATATGGTCACACGCCCTATAAAACCAAAACTAGGAGAAGGACAGAGACAAAAACACAAAGTCGTAGACTATAACTAATATATTAAGAAAAAATAGCAATCAAGCCTTCGCAATAATTAGGCACATTTCGAAAAATCAACTTAAAAAACTAACTACTCTACACGATACTAAAATCGACTAAAATATTTACTATACATCAACTCAAAATGGCGTCGATAAAGCGGATAAAGCGGCTTTTTGTGCTTTTATTATTTGATTAACCGATGAAAAGCTATCATTTTTCTTCAATATATGAAAGAGATCTTAATGACAACAATTGAAATAATATTTACACAGGAATAATAGCTAATTCCTTTGATGTTATCGGGGATATTCAATTTAGACCAGATGATGTCAAAAATTAACTGAAAAAGCTGGATGTCACAAAGGGAGTTGGCGCAGATAATGTACACCTACTACTTTTATTAAACTGTGCAGATACGTTGACTTTTCCACTAACTTTTCTATACAATCGATCTCTCAAAATAGGCATATTCCCTAATTAATGGAAAGTAGCAAAAGTAATCTCTATATTTAAGAATCTATGCAAACAAGACTGTAGTTTTTGAGTTATTAGAAAGTAACTGGAGAAGAAAGTAACCTTTACGTGGTAGAGCCATGCTGCAGTTATATTAGTAGTATAGCTGTAGCACGAATGGGTCGGCTCGACCGGGGAAGGACCACGCTCTCACAGAATACCAGCGTGAAATAGTAGCTTAATGCTGCTGTATTTCGTATGGTGAGTGTAGAGAACCGGAGACCCTTTTTACTGGAAACGAGGCATTCCATCTTAGTCCTCACTGGTGACAACGCATCTGCATTTTGATTTGTAATCGAGGATAGATGTAGATGTCTATGGGCCACAGCAACCACTTACCATCAGGTGGACTGTGTGCTCGTTTGTCACCCTAGCCTATAAAAAAAAAAAAAAAAAAAAAAAAACTGAATGACCATATTACCGTCACGTACTATATTAATATTATTAGATTAAAAATAAACAAACCAAACCCCAGATATGCATAAAGTAGAAAAGGCATTGATTTGTGTGTAAATTTAATACTCAGCTACTAACGGACTAACTTCTCAATTAAATTATATTGCTCTGAGTACCTAATTGTTCGGACTAACTCCAGTCACACACATTCCACCATCGCACATCGCATATAACTTGCGATACCATCCATACCGTCTGGATGACGCGCGGTTCACCACTGTGCGATTTAAAAGAAGTTTTCTTCCTCGCACAATGTCCTCGTGGAATCGACTACCACCAGAATTGTTTTTCGGACCGATACGACTTAGGGATCTTCAAGAAAAGAGCCTACTCCTTTTTAAAAGGCCGGCAACGCATCTGTAATTCCCCTGGTGTTGCAGTTGTTCATGGGCGACGGTAATCACTTACCATCAGGTAAATGATTATGATGGACGTATGCTAGTTTGCCCCCTCTACTATAGAAAAGACATTGTGTATCAAAAACTTCACCTCAGTGTGTGTCAGTGGATGACAAGCGTAAGAGTTTATGGTATTTTTGTCATTTAATCTTATAACAGCATCTTGCAATCTCTACTTTTTCGACACTAATTATTTTTCCAAATTAATGCATGACGTTTTCCTCCAGGGTTCAGAGCGCTCATCAGCGAAACAGTCGCTCCGCTGTGCACTTGGAACCAGCATATGTGGCTCACGTGCGGAGTTTTGCATGCTGTTCGCCAAAGGGGCGGACCTTGGCCACTGCGGCAGCTTCGTGAGGGCCGCTCGCACTGCTCATTTGTTGCGTGCGTTGGCTGAGATGGACCATCTGATTGTGCAGGTAGGTTGCTTTGATTTTTACTAGATACTCCTTTACTACTTAGTGGTTCGTCTGGGTTTGTAATGTCTTTATTATTTCTCCCGCCAAGCAACAGTGTACTTAGTTTCTTCTTTTAAATTAAAAACGGGCTCACTCTTGACCTCCACCTTGTCCGAGGGCAAATATAAGGCTTTTTATAGCCTTGGGTGATAAACGAGCACACAGTCCATCTGATGGTGAGGATGCTGTTGCAAATAGACATTCACATTTATCCTCGATTAAGAATCAAAACAGATGCGTTGTCACCCCTGAGGACTAAGATGGAATGTGATGAATGGAATAAAATGGATGGTCGGCTCGAACGGGGAAGGACCGCGCTCTCACAGAATACCAGCGTAAAAAAGCAGCTTAATACTGCTGTGTCTATGGGCCACAGGATCCACTTACCATCAGGTGGACTGTGTGCTCGTTTGTCACTCTAAATTTATGAAAAAAAAAATAATGATATGAAATGACTTTTTAAAATTATCCAATATATTCTACTATATTAAATTTCTAAAGCCCGTGAATAGCTTAATTTTTAGTAAATTTGTTACCTTACCGTATAAAATACGTTTGTTTAGCGCGCTTCTCTGACAGTGTTTACTTTGGCCTCTTAATTAACTGGAGTATCATTGCGCCGTATTTGTCTGGTGTAAACACGCAGAGAAAACTGCAAATGTTCAACGCGAGCACTAATATGAATGGACAAGGGGAAATTAATATTCACTAGCTTCGCCTGGGTAGGATTTGATAAGGTAACGTTATTTATTCTTAGAGTAATTGAAGATTATTTGGTTTATCAATTTTACGTATTACTCAAAAACAAATCAAGTTTTTTGCATAAAATATAGCCTAGATCTTTTTTTTTCTAGAATAGGGTGGCAAACTAGCACATAGTCCACCTGATGGTAAGTGAATACTGTGGTCCTGCTCAATTTATTCTTAATTGAGAATCAAAATGCAAATGCGTTTTCACCCCTGAGGACTTAGGTGGAATGCCTCGTTTCCAGTAAAAAGGGTCTCCGGTTCTCTACACTCACCATATGAAACACAGCAGCTTTAAGTTGCTATTTTACGCTGGTATTCTGTTACAGCGTGGTCCTACGGTCGAGCGACCCTCGTGATACAACCGTAATATAGCTGCAGTGCTTTACCACATATAAAATACTGACCCTATTTACCCTTTATGATCTATATATATATATATATATATATATATATATATATATATATATATATATATATATATATAATCGAAATCTCGAAAACGGTCTCCAACGATTTTCATAAAATTTAGTGTCCAGCGAGTTTCGGGGGCAATAAATCGATCTAGCTAGGATTTGTTTTTAGAAAATGTCTATTCAAATATCCAGTTCAGTTTTTTCTATTATGTCAATAGGATCAAAAAATATTATTTATGTTTCATCGGTATGTAATTTGTATACCTATAATCTGTAAAAATAAATTTTTCTCATTTTAAAATCTCCAAAAAATTGACGTCGCTGACTCAGTATTGATGTAACATGATTAATAACTTTTTTAATAGTCTATGTATAATTCTCATTTGAGGATATATCTTTGAACTATATTACTTTTAAAAAGTAAGTTACCGCATCTAAACCGACAATAATATTCGTAATCCTCGCGCGTCTCATTATACGCGTCGTCTCCAGAGATCTCTGTTTGTCTGGCTGTCCGCGGCTACTGGCTGCGTAATGATGTTAGCATTGCGATCTTACGGTAGGGGGCGCCACTTATGTACATGTATGTGTTGTTGTAGGAAGGAGTACCTATTACGTTTAAGTCGTAAATATCATTAGAAGAATTAGGCTTTAATATTTTTCTTATAACTCATTTTCATAAAAGAAATGCCGTTGATTAACTCTATATTATTACTAAGTATTTAAAAATTCATCTAGTGGGGGGTCGCCCTACACTTCGCGTACCGGTACCAGGCTTGCCACTCGAGAAACTTTTTTCCTCAACGGTTGTCGGTTCTTCGAGCTATATGGCCGGCCCATTGCCACTTCAGCTTACTGATCCGTTGGGCTATGTCGGTCACTCTTGTTCTAAGGCGAAGTTTAGGGCGACCCTCCACTAGATGGAGTGACGACCTGGTAAGACATGCAGGAAGTCGATGGATGCAGGTGGCTCAGGACCGTTCTTTGTGGCATACCTTGGGGGAGGCCTATGTTCAGCAGTGGACTTGTGAAGGGCTGTAATGATGATGATGATGATGATTTAAAAATTCAATAGAAACAGAAACACAAACTTTTTGTTCAACATAGATTATAAATGATACTTATTGAAAGTAACCTTTTTTAATTGAATAAATTCTTCAATTATTATGTAGGACATCAACAAAAGGACCATGAAAAATTATTGATCAGGTTAATAATGTCCTGAAGACAGAATTTCGGTCACGGCAGCCAGTCTCAATATTTTTTGTTTATATAGAATAAAGGTGAATGACCTCTAAGTTCACCTGATGGTAAATGGATGCTGTGGCCCTTAGACATATCTCTAAGTCCACTGCTGGACATAGGCCTACACCAAGGAATGCCACAAATATAGGTAGAGGTATCTATCCACGATTAAATATCAATGTGCAGAATGCGTTGTCACCCTAAGATTGGCCTCGTTTCCAGTAAAAAAGCTCTCCGGTTCTCTACACTCACCATATGAAGCGTGCTAGTGGCTGCAGTAATCTGTGAGAGCGTGGTCCTTCACGGGCTGAGCCGACCCACTCGTGCTGTAACTATACCTAATGTAGTTTTAGCGTGGCTCTACCACGTTAAAATATCATTTTCACATTTATAAATTATTATATTACACTACCTTGCCACGCAGAAGTTGTTCTGCCCTTTTCGACGTCTCTTTTTCATGTCCTATTAAAAATCCTTAAATTCGTAAAGAAAAATTATGTGTCACTCATGGGCAAAAAAATTATCCTATCTCTTGTTGGCCCAAACTGCACACGTGTGCAAATTTGACTAAAATCGGTTAAGTAGTTTAGGAATCCATCGCGGACAAACAACGTGTCATGTAATTTATATATATTAAGATTAAGTTAAAAATAGTTACCTAAATGAAAAAAATGTTACGTAGTTGCAAAGTGATTCCCATCGATAACGAATTCTCATCAGATTCGAACTATCGCAGTGCTTTTCCTGCAATGAATTTTGCGGTCCGTTAGGAGATAGGATTATTTTTATTTTCTTTTTTATAGGACAATGTGACAAACGAGCACATACTGCACCTGATTACTATGGTCCATAGACATCTACATCTATCTACGATTACGAATCAAAATGCAGATGAGTTGTCACCCCTGTGGACTAACAGCCTGGCCACGGGACATTCGCCGTAGCGAAAATTCGCGCGGCGTAAACGGCGAGGCGTCTAGCGACTAAAGCAAATGTATAGAAATGTATTAAGCATGCCACGCGTAGCGGCGAGTGGCGACGCGACTGGCAAAATTTACCGGGCGAATCGCGCGGGCGACTGGCGGTGCGGCGGGTGACTGAAACAAATGTATGAATCAGTACGGTGCAAGCCACGGGGTTGACGGAAATCGCGGCGTCAGACGCGGCGAATAGTATAGGAAACAAAATATTTTAGTTGTTTTCACCGCGAAAAATGCCGTGCCGACAAAAACAACTTAAAATTCTATCCGCATTGACTTTTATCTCCAATTCTGGTTGAATATTAACAAGAATATAATCGCAGGTTTCAACACCCATTCTGGTATTTACTCGAAAAATTTTTCTAGATGCATTCTATTTGTTGTGGAATTCTCCATCTATAACCCGATTCCTATTCAAATCAAGCACTCCGCAATTTCATCCAAATATTATGTCTTGAATCAAAAAACAATTACTTTCTAAGCAATATCGAGATAACTTTGATAAAGACATTTCACTCTTGGCCTATCTGGTCGCGGCGGCAAACGTGACTTCCCGTGGCCCTCAAATCGCCCCGCCTGTCGCTTCGCCGTTCGCGCCGCCGATCCCCGTGGCCAGGCCGTAAGGTGGAATGCCTCGTTTCCAGTAAAAAGGATCTCCGGTTCTCTACACCTATCATACGAAAAACAGCAGCATTACGTTGCTATTTTACGCTGGTATTTTGTGAGAGGGTGGTACTTCCCCGGTCGAGCCGACCCATTAGTGCTACAACTATAGTACTAATATAGCCGCGGGATGGCTCTACCACGTAAAAAAAACACAGGGATTAACTTTTCTACCTAGGAGTTCGTCTAGATAGTTACCGACTTCTTACTTATCTGCTGTCTGATAGCAGTGCGTGCACTTATGTGTTCCGTTCTGGAGGGTATAGAGAATCAGTTCAGTTGCAGGTTGTGAGGCATTACATCTTAGTCCTCAGAGGTGACAACGCATCTGTATCCTCCTATGTTTCAAGTCGGTTGCAGATGTCCATGATCTGCGGTAGCCACTTACCATCAGGTGGACTGTATGGTGAGTCCAGTGTACCAGGAGTCCCTTTTTACTGGAAACGAGGCATTTCTATCTTAGTCCTAAGGGGTGACAACGCTGCATTTTGATTCTAAATCTCACTGTGTGAGTTTTTTACCGATTGGAAAAAACAGGTGAATGGAATAGAAGCCTATGGCACTGATATTACATACGATACAGTTTTTATTTTACATTAACATACGAAAAACATCTATCAATAAATACTACATACTAATTTGAAATAAGCTTTCGGTAGTACTAACAAAAAAACAACAAAATTTATGAAACTATGAACTAAACTATCGAAATTAAAATAATGCGTTCCCAATTCGTTAAACACCCTATTTTTTCCAGATGGTAAAAAAATTAATCCAGTATAAATGACTGTGGGCCACGGCATTCACTTACCATCAGGTGAACTGTGTGCTGGTTTGTCACCTTTATTCTATATAAAAAAATAAGTTTGTAAATTCAATTATATAAAAAGAAGTACACTGCCATATATTT